TACATAGATGATTTTTCTTTCTTTTCCCATTAGTCTAAGATGTAAATTTACCTTAAGTCACAGCCAAAGGATTAATTAACAGTCACCATCTCCTCCTCTCCTGTTCATTGTTCTTGTACAATATCTACACATCTCCCCTGCACTCTCCCTCACATTACTCAAACTGCTCCCTTCTCTTCCAACCTCTCCCTTACATGTCGGTCCTTGTTAAACCTTTCACCCAGACTCCATCATAACCATCTGCTCACTCTCGAGTCTCACACTGGTCCTCCACTCACTACTGCCTCATGATGGCCACACACTCCAGTCCCTCGTTGTATGTTCATCTCAGTATTCTGTCCAACACAATAAGCCTCTAACTTTACCTCCCATCTCTGTACTTCTCTCCCACTATCAACGTCTCAACACCTTCATCAGTTTCTCTACATATATCCTCATTCCTGACACTCCTACAGTTCCAACCACTCCTTAATTCTTACATGTAAATCCACCACTGTCACTCGGGTCTTATTACCATCTCTTTCCCCCCCTCCATCACCTTACCCCATTGTAATACAGAGTAATCCACCTCACAAACTACTTTTAGTGTACTTATGGACTGACTCTCACTATCACACAACACCGCTTCTCTCTCTCTCTTTCAAATACATGATTTTACTCCCTTCACCTGACCCCAGCTCACCCAACTAGTCCTTGTACCATCACTATATCAACACACCCAAACAATAACAATAAGTGTACATCAAGCCTTGAAGGTCATGCCAACTTTGACCCTGTAAGATGACTCTGTAATATTGAGGGGGTCACTTGATTTGCCCACTCCCATACACCATCAAACACACTCCTCTCACACACCCAGACAGGTACACAGACACTAGGGTATAATCAAGGTACTATCATGTCTGAGGGTTGGCGACTACGGCCCTCCACTGTGTTTACCAATCCTGCCAGATAATTAACTTTTCGGGACCACAACTTCTGCCATCCATCCCAGTCTCTAACCTGGCCCTCATCCCCTCACTTATCCATTAAATCTCTATCCCCTCATCCCTAATTATATAACATCCATCCCAACCTCCACCATTCCCTGGCTCTCCTACTCTCGCCTTTACCCAATAATAACAATAATAAGCTACAACTATTAATACCTAAAATATTTATACCTTTAGTAATAATTTCTTGTAATATTTCAGGTAATCTTTCTTATCGGCTACAATGGCGGGGAAATATTTAAGGTAAAAAGAAAATTAATTTACGAAGCTTTGAAAATCCTGACACTCGCCTCGTCCGGTTCAACACGTCTCCAGTTAGTCCGGCAGTCGAACCTGAGGCCTTTATCTTCCACAGTGGGGACCTCGCCACTCAGCCACCACACCACTGTGCTGGAAAAAAAATATATATATATATATATATACAGTATATATATATATATATATATATATATATATATATATATATATATATATATATATATATATATATATATATATATATATATATATATAGATATATATATATATATATATATATATATATATATATAGATATATATATATATATATATATATATATATATATATATATATACAGTATATATATATATATATATATATATATATATATATATATATATATATACAGTATATATATATATATATATATATATATATATATATATATATATATATATATATATATATATATATATATATATATATATATATATATATATATATATATATATATATATATATATATATATATATATATATATATAAATTATCTGTCACAATATCTATTAGCTATATCAATATCTTAGTTCTGAAACTATACAAATTCCATAAGTTATAATTTACTCATGAAAAAACAAAACATTCCTTATACAATCCAGACATACAAATTCCCAATCAGGTAATAACTATATATATTTTCCAGTTTATATACATTCATTAGTAAGAAATTCTATACAGACTCTTTTAATATTTGAAGTTGACTCCATCTGCAAGAGTAGGCCCAGAGTCTTGACGGGTACAGGTCCATCATCTTGCTACTTGACCACACATTACCCTGAGTCTTGACAGGTACAGATCCACCATCTTGCTACTTGACCACACATTACCCGAGTCTTGACAGGTACAGATCCACCATCTTGCTACTTGACCACACATTACCCGAGTCTTGACAGGTACAGATCCACCATCTTGCTACTTGACCACACATTACCCGAGTCTTGACAGGTACAGATCCACCATCTTGCTACTTGACCACACATTACCTGAGTCTTGGACAGGTACAGATCCACCATCTTGCTACTTGACCACACATTACCCTGAGTCTTGACGGGTACAGATCCACCATCTTGCTACTTGACCACACATTACCCCGAATCTTGACGGGTACAGATCCACCATCTTGCTACTTGACCACACATTACCCTGAGTCTTGACGGGTACAGATCCACCATCTTGCTACTTGACCACACATTACCCTGAGTCTTGACGGGTACAGATCCACCATCTTGCTACTTGACCACACATTACCCTGAGTCGTCTGTACACCTGTTTAATTATTATTATTATTAATTCATATACCTGTATACATTGTTACGTACAGTCTAGTGTAGTACATTCCTCAGCACCGCCATAATTATTTCACCACCACCACCACCATCACTTCCCAATCACCATCACTTCCCAATCACCACCACTACCACAATCACCACACTCACTGTCCCATGACCACCAACACGTGCACTTAGCTGAAACAGACAGTCAGTTGGCCCCAGGAGCGAGGTGGTCCAGCCCAGCAGGAGGTCAGATGTGTAGTGCTAAGTGAACCAGCGTGACCACACCTGCCTCACCGCTCTCATTCTCAAGTTTACTGAAGCTTCGAGGCGTCTCACTCACAATAAACTGAAGCATCACTCGTAGCAGGCGATAATTTACGTCAGGGAAGAAATACTACAACTTGTGGATCACCAACAATAACACTGAGTTGTGTTTACCAAGACAAATATATTCGTGTTGGTTTAACTTGATAAAGACTCTAACAAACTGGATTCACAGTTCCATGACTCCTGCTTCAGGGCTTCGTTCATGAAGTGATTCGAATCATTGATGTTTCCTGACGCCTTGAATATGATGTCATGGGTGGGCGGAGCTTAGATACAAGGTAGCTGGGTTATGTAATGATCGTTGTCTTTGTGATAATATTGACCATAAAACACCTGCATTAATTACTAACTTAATTAGGTTATGTTTTCATGATCTTCACATCTATCTATCTACCAACCAACATTTATTAATCTATTTACGTCTCTCTCTATCTACCAAAATTTATCTGAGTTACATTAGTCATTATATCTAGTGAACAGTACGTGACAGAGAAAACAATTGAGAATATGTTGTATAATTGAAGAGTTATATCCTCTGGTAATGTCTATAATAACTGGACAGATTATAGGTGTTAATGCTTAGTTATATTAAGGTATATTTACAAACATGATAAAGGTTAATAATGATGTAGTATACAGTAGAGTATAATTGGTAATAATGAACTACTACCACCACTAACTGTATTGTACCGTGTGTGTAGTTCCTGTAACATAAATACAAATTACTTAAGTATGATGTTATAGGTTCGCCTCTGTAATTATGGGAGGTGGGGTGAGGGGTGAGGGGTGAGGGTGGGGTGGAGGTGGGGTGAGGGGTGGAGTTGGGGGGGGGTGGGGTGGGTGGAGGGGGCGTTTCTCAGGGATTTTCACTTAAAGATCATTATGTTGATATAATGAATATTAAGTCGGTGACGCAGCAAGAAAACAAAAAAATAAAAGAGTGTATTTCCGTAAGAAGCTGCAGACAGTCTAGGCCTTAGCGCCCCCTCACGAGAATGACTCCAGGTTGAGAAATAACCGCTGGCTGATGTGTGCTGAGTCTGGCAGAGCGTTTAGTGGTTAATTCCTGATAAGATGTTGATGTTACGGTCTATTGCAGCTTTTTAGTAGACTATCTCCCTTAACACCTTCACTACAGGGACGATTGTTTCAATATTTTATTTGGCTAACGCTACACGATTTTATTCAGTAAATCCTAAATAAATTCTCCTTGTTCCGCCACCGCATTAGCCTTCTATGCATCAAAACAAACATTTGAATGAAAATCCCAAAGAACATAGTAGAAAACACACCATAATTACCTTTATGTGACGCGTACTGTTGATTGGTCGAGGAAGCTTTGTTGTGATGACGTCATGGTGCGCTTCTACGTCATGATGGTTGCTGATTGGAAGAGGATACTTTGATGTGATGTAATCATGATGTACTTCTGGGCAACGATGGCTGATGATTGGCCGTGGACACTTGTGATGACGTCATGGTATATATCTGGGTAATGATGGCTGCTGAGTGGTAAAAGACGCTTTGAAATGATGACGTCATAGTGATGTTTTCCCTTCTCACTTTCTAAAAGTCTTCATTTATAATTTTATTCTATAGTTAATAAATGCAACGTATTTTTTTTCCAACACTCACATGTTTTATCTTAACATGGGAGAGAGAGAGAGAGAGAGAGAGAGAGAGAGAGAGAGAGAGAGAGAGAGAGAGACCATTAGTAATATGACCCAGTTTATAATGAAAGGTTTGATCAATTATTCCTCACCTTTATTGATTATGGCTTCAACCTTTCGCTGCCTGACTGACTATGACTGCTGAAACCCTAACTGACTGACTGACTACTGAGACCCTGACTGATTGACTGACTACTGAGACCCTGACTGACTGACTACTGAGACCCTGACTGATTGACTGACTACTGAGACCCTGACTGACTGACTACTGAGACCCTGACTGACTGACTGACTTACCGAGACCCTGGCTATAGTGACTGACTGACAGATTAACTAACTACTAAGACCCATGTTAAATTAGGTTACATTAAGTTAGGTTAAATTAGGTTAGATTAACTTTGGACAAGATATAAACAAGGTGTAAACAAAACACTAGGTCAGTTTACCTCCATTTATTACCACAGGTATAATATTTACTCTCTGCCGTACACACTGTTACGGGTGTACGGTCGTGGTGAACTATGCTAACACGTTGACACATCTACCATTCATTGTACGTCTGTCTGTCTGTGTCTGTCTCTCTGTGTCTGTCTCTCTGTCTGTGTCTGTCTCTCTGTCTGGCTGCTGCTCCATTGTCGTGTCTTCCTGGCCTAATGACACAAAGATTCTGTACGTTAATTTTGTCTCCTATCTGGTGTTAAGTGAATTTTATGGTAATATTTCCTCATAAAAGATGTAACACTGTATCAAACAGCTTGATCGATGCTACAGAAACTGATTAAAATTGGCATCACAACTACGTTATGACTTCACGTGTACATTAGATATGTTTACTTAGCACCAGTCAGAGGACAACATTACTGTGAGACAGTAACCGTGACTGGCTGGGTCATCCTGTCACCAGTTGTTGGATATTATTAACGTACAGTCTTCGTGTAGTGTACCCGGAGGTCTGGCTGGTCCTCTTCCTTCTACAGGGCGAGATGTTTGTGTTCCGCGAGCAGTCTTTCTCGCGGGCATTAGGGTACCGCGAGCGTGGCCTCGCGGGAGGCCTCCTTGCCACACGCAGCCATACAGGCGTTGCCGTTGGCCAGGGGCGTGATGAAGGTAAGGACACTAACGTCTTGACTCTCCGGGGTGGTGATGCGGTCCACCGTGTTGTCAGGGAGGCGCTCGTGGCTGCTGGTCTGACGGAGGGTGAAGGGGGAGTAGGAGGTCTGCTCCGGCAGGGTGCTGCGGCGACTCTCCCGCAGGAACCTGGAGAGCCGCTCCAGGCTGCCCTGTGATCCACCCCAGCCAGACCCGCGCCGCAGGAGTGACTGGGAGATCCGGACCGACAAGATGGCCTCCAGGGTCCGCAGCACGTGAGGCGACGACGAGTTGAGGCTGGCGCTCCTGGCGGGCTTCTCAAAGGCCTTACACAAGAGCGGCGTCTGACAGTCCACCTGACTCTTACTCTCATAGTGACTCTCAGTGACAGTCTTGGAGGGCGTCGCGTGGCAGCTGACGAGAGGTAATTCTAATGACTTTGATCTGTTGCTTACATGTTCGGGGGTGCCCAGTGCCTGCAGTGTGGCACTGTCGTGTAGTCTGGACATCGCCACCCCACGGGACGGGATATCGGGTGAGGGAGAGCAAGTTAGGTTGTCCTCCTCGGTGCGTGTCTCTTTCACTGAGAAACTAATATCTGAGTCTAAGGAAGAGATGGAGAGACGCACCCGCTGCTGGCCCAGGTAGAAGTTGCGGGCAGCCTCGAAGGTCGGCACCGTGAGGAAGTTGGAGACACTGGCGGGGGAGTGAGACCCCGCGGGGGAGGAGTCGGCGGGGACGTTGGGGGTGTCCACGGGGCGCCGCAGCCGCGTGGGAGAGGGAGTGCCGTCCTCCAGGGGGTGCCACGACATGTCTGACGACCTCCTTAACAACTTGGGCTGGCTGGTCTGGTCCGAGAGGAAGTAGTCGGACATACGACGCGGCAGCGACTTGTGCAGTATAGGCATGGCCAGTGTGGACGATATGGAGGGTCGGCGGGAGTTGGCGGCTGAGGGGATCCTGGCCTGAATCTCGTGTTTAACCTCTGTTTTGTAAAGCTTTTTCCTGAGATAATTTCTAAATGCTTTGCGAATATTCTTACATTTAATTCCATATATAAAAGAATTGACGAGAGGAGAGATAAGTAAGAATGTTAGGCCGAGCAGCACCCAATATTCATTAGCTCGCCTGCCCTGGAGGGACTCCCACACCACCGTGCCGAAGAACGGGTAATAACACACTACAAACGCCACTATTTGCTCTAATACTGTCCACACAGACTTCCTCTTCTTCTTGGGGATATCAAACGGGTTCTTCTGGTGGGTGACGGTGGCTTGTGCGGACATCATGACTTCAAATATGGCGGAGAAGATGCGGTGTTGGTGATGGCGAGCGATCATGATGATTCTGCTGTTGACGATGAGGAGGATGGTAAAGGGTAGGATGATACACAGTGTCGTTAGCGTCCACGTGTAGGTGGTGGCGTCGGCACGGTGCCACACAGGCAGACACACGCCCTGGGAGAAGGTGTAGGAGTAAGTTCCCACCAGGGGCGGCGAGGCCACCGCCACGCTCACCAGCCACGCCAGGCAGGAGAAGGCGGCCACTCTGTGTCGCGTCACTATCTGGTTGTACCGGAGGGGAGTGGCGATGGCGCAGTACTTGTCACAGTGGAGCCCCACCACCACCCACACCGCCACCGTGTGTAGCAGCACCAGCAGGAATCCGTACAGACGACACAGTGCGTCACTCTCCCAGACGTCAGGCTCGGTGGTGGTGTCGTTGAGGGAGGCGGCGGGGAACGCGGCGACGCTCAGGTTGTGAGTAAGATTTGTCGGGTCGTGAGAGGCGACCCACGAGTACGGAGGTTGTGGCGCCAGCGGCACCACGGTGAAGTTGTCAGTAGAGTTGTAGAGGTCCCAGGGAGCCTCCGTGTGGGGCGGAGTGGGCGTGAGGGGCACCTCCTGCAAGGTGTAGTCCTCATGCAGCAGCCACCGTCCCTGTACACAACACAACACTCTTGTTGACGTCTGTAAAGACTAAATGTTCAATAACAACAACTCTATGACACACTGATGGTGGTGACCTAACAACAACAACAACAACAATAATAAAGTTTTGGGGTAAATCATCAGCTAACCCGGGGCTGTGGGATTGTGATACACCTAAATGATTAAACCTGACTTATCTTAAATTATGCTACATATTACCACCACCACTACTACTCCTACTACTACTACTACCACCACAACTAATACTAACACCACTACTAAGGGTGCACCGGATACCAGATTTTACTAACTGGCCGGATATACCTAATAAATTACCCCCCGCCTCACACCGACTCTTCATTCCACAAGACAACATTTCTCACAGCGTCTATATAAACACCACCAGAATCTGTTTACAGGAATATAATTAGATTACTTATTACGTGTAGAAAGAGTATTAGAACTTTTAAAACTGTACTTATACTTTACTGTCTGTTCTGTCTACCCATAAGAGGGGTGGGAGGGGATATGAGAGGGGTAGAAGGGGGTATGGGAGGGGGTATGGGAGGGAGCTGGGAGGGGGTGGGAGGGTAAGGGTTGCTCCATTTCTTGATTGAACCCCACATCTAAGCAGTCTATCGTGCTCCAGGTTTCAGACTAGACTGACTCTTGTCTGGCTCACGGGGAAGAGGGAGGGTGGGTGGAGAGGAAAGCAGGGGGGTGATGAGGAGGGGGATGGGGGCCGAGTGGAGAGGGAAGAGGAGAGGGAGGAGAAAGAGAAGAAGGACCTCCGTGAATGGCCATTGGGAGGAAGATTTTTTTTTCATATGATGATGTTCGTCCTTGTCTGGGAAATCACCTGACGATGACCACCTTCGTCCTGGGGTTAATATCCGGCCAGACAGGACAGATGTCAGGCCGGATAACGGATAATTGATGATATCCGGCCAGTCGGTGTGTCCTTAACTCCACTATTACTACTACTGCTACTACACGTGTTTATATGAAAGAAGGCGTGGGGACTCACCTGTATGAAGGAAGGCGTGGGGACTCACCTGTATGAAGGAAGGCGTGGGGGACTCACCTGTGGAAGGGAAGGCGTGGGGACTCCACTGTGCTGAAGGAAGGCGTGGGGACTCACCTGTATGAAAGGAAGGCGTGGGGACTCACCTGTATGAAGGAAGGCGTGGGGGACTCACCTGTGTATGAAGGAAGGCGTGGGGACTCACCTGTATGAGAGAGGTGGGGACTCACCTGTATGAAGGAAGGCGTGGGGACTCACTGTATGAAGGAGGCGTGGGGACTCACCTGTATGAAGGAGAGGCGTGGGGACTCACCTGTGAGAGGCTGTATGAAGGAAGGTGGGGACTCACCTGTATGAAGAGGCGTGGGGACTCACCTGTATGAAGAGGCGTGGGACTCACCTGTATGAGAGGAAGGCGTGGGGACTCCCTGTATGAAGGGAGGCGGCCAGGGGGGACTCACCTGTATGAAGGGGAAGGCGTGGGGGACTCACCTGCTTATGGAGGGGAGGGGCGTGGGGACTCACCTGTATGGGAAAGAGGACGTGGGGACTCACCTGTATGAAGGAAGGCGTGGGGACTCACCTGTATGAAGGAAGGCGTGGGGACTCACCTGTATGAAGGAAGGCGTGGGGACTCACCTGTATGAAGGAAGGCGTGGGGACTCACCTGTATGAAGGAAGGCGTGGGGACTCACCTGTATGAAGGAAGGTGTGGGGACTCACCTGTATGAAGGAAGGCGTGGGGACTCACCTGTATGAAGGAAGGTGTGGGGACTCACCTGTATGAAGGAAGGTGTAGAGAAGATGATGAACAACAGGGACAACAACACACCCGTCACCATCAGTTGTAGGTGGAGGAGGCTGGTGCTGCTCTTGTACTGCAACAACAACAACAACCACTATTAGTAAGTCTTTCATCAACAACAACAACAACTATTAGTAAGTCTTTCATCAACAACAACAACAACTATTAGTGAATAACAATCAACAACAGCAACAACTATTGATGAATAACTTGCATCAGCAAACAACAACAACTATTAGTAAGTCCTTTCATCAACAACAACAACAACAACTATTAGTAAGTCTTTCATCATCAACAACAACAACAACTATTAGTAAGTCTTTCATCAACAACAACAACAACAACTATTAGTAGAAGTCTTTTAATTCGACAACAACAACAACTATTAGTAAGTCTTTCATCAACAACAACAACAACCACTATTAGTAAGTCTTTCATCAACAACAACAACAACAACCACTATTAGTAAGTCTTTCATCAACAACAACAACAACAACTATTAGTAAGTCTTTCATCAACAACAACAACAACCACTATTAGTAAGTCTTTCATCAACAACAACAACAACAACAACTATTAGTAAGTCTTTCATCATCAACAACAACAACAACTATTAGTAAGTCTTTCAACAACAACAACAACAACAACTATTAGTAAGTCTTTCATCAACAACAACAACAACAACTATTAGTAAGTCTTTCATCATCAACAACAACAACAACTATTAGTAAGTCTTTCAACAACAACAAAAACAACAACTATTAGTAAGTCTTTCATCAACAACAACAACAACCACTATTAGTAAGTCTTTCATCAACAACAACAACAACAACTATTAGTAAGTCTTTCATCGACAACAACAACAACAACTATTAGTAAGTCTTTCATCAACAACAACAACAACTATTAGTAAGTCTTTCATCAACAACAACAACAACAACCACTATTAGTAAGTCTTTCAACAACAACAACAACAACAACTATTAGTAAGTCTTTCATCAACAACAACAACAACAACTATTAGTAAGTCTTTCATCAACAACAACAACAACAACTATTAGTAAGTCTTTCATCAACAACAACAACAACAACTATTAGTAAGTCTTTCATCGACAACAACAACAACAACAACTATTAGTAAGTCTTTCATCAACAACAACAACAACTATTAGTAAGTCTTTCATCAACAACAACAACAACAACTATTAGTAAGTCTTTCATCAACAACAACAACAACAACTATTAGTAAGTCTTTCATCGACAACAACAACAACTATTAGTAAGTCTTTCATCAACAACAACAACAACAACTATTAGTAAGTCTTTCATCAACAACAACAACAACAACTATTAGTAAGTCTTTCATCAACAACAACTATTGATAAGTCTTTCATCAACAACCACTATTAGTAAGTCTTTCATCAACAACATCTAATAGGTAACTAACAGGTATTGGGGGTCGTAACAGATGGTGGGGTCGTACAGGCAGAGGTGGAGGTCGTTTAGGCACTGGAATCACAACAAGTACAATGGGTCGTAACAAGGGGGTGATGAGGGTCGTATAGGTGGTGATGGGGTCGTAACAGGTACTGGTGGGGGGTCATAACACGTAGTGGAGGTCGCTGGGCAGGTGGTGATGGGGGTCGTGCCAGGTAGTATGGGTGGGGGGTAGTAATAGGGAAAGAGGGGGGGAGGGGTCGTACCAGGTAGTAGAGGGGTAGTAATAGGGAAAGAGGGCGGGAGGGGTCGTACCTGTTTACTCGTAAGGATGATGAAGAAGATGAAAGCACTGGAGACAAAGGCCAGCACCAGGGCAGCTGTGAGCGCCACGCCCAACACCACCACCAGCATGGTCACCGCGCCGCCCTCCCGCACGCCCCCGCACCACCACACGCCTGCGGGGATCACCACGCCCTGCCCACCATCATTCCTGGGCAGGCGATCACCACCACCACGCCCTCGCCAAGAGTCCCATGGTTGGTGGTGCTCTGGAGGTGAGTGTGTTGTGGAGGACCTCACACACTCCAGCAGGACGCCGGCCTCACCATCCTCACACTCCTGCCGAGACAACACTACACTGAGGGGCTGGTGACGATGATGATGATAATAATAATAATAATAATAATAATAATAATAATAATAATAATAATAACAACACTAGTAACAATTAACGTTAGACTAATAATTACAATAGTAAATGCCAATATAGCACAAGACAGGTAGACCGTGAACAGCAGGTATACAATTTCCTATTCAAACTCATGTTGACAACCGCAGATCTTGGCGTCAGTCATTCACAGAAACAGGGAGGTGTGGGTGGGTGTGTACACGGCGGGGCAGTGTACACGGCGGGGTAGTGTACACGGGAGTCTGGTGAGTTAATGAGGGAAAGAGGAAGGAGGAGGAGTCTGCGTATGTCATTATGTTGAGACACGCGGGGCACCAACTATCATAATGACTTCTTTAATACTCCAAGATAACTGAAGATGAGCCTGAGTGTGTGGGGACCGGGGCGAGGGTAGCTGCGTGACGTCCACCTTCTCAATGCACCAATCACCAGCGAGAAATCAGTCCCCCGTTGTGACGTGGGCGGTGTTGCCAGTGTTTACTCCCCTGTATGTAATGCTCACTAACTTGCTTCCTTAAGGATGCCTGGAATTAACGACCTAAATGTTGGCACCACTGGTTGGCTCTCCCTGCCGTGATGAGGCTGTTTCTGTCAGCCAATTACTTCGTGAACTCAAAATATATCTGGACTAGACTGTCAGTGTGGATGATGTATAACAACCTCCATGATGGTGTTGGTGGGCCACTGATGACCCGTTAGGGGCAGTGTGGATACAGCACACCGAGGAGTCAACCTCGGTGTATACTGAGGCAAGGTATCCGGCACTGCATTCGACCGCCTCTATTTCCTCAACTGTAAGGATAAAGCGAGTACTGTAGTCACTCAGCCACCGCACCACAAGACCCATAACTCCGGTAAACTAAAATGAACACAGATTTTTTTCTACAGCACCAAACGTTAATGGCACCACGTCGTATAGTAAGACCCTGGCTGTAGGTGATCACCGTCATAACTACGAAA